ATATGGACAGTGAACATGTGGTGCTAATGTGCTATATACGTAAACAGCCAAACAGGTAGGTACCAAAAAGTGTACGAAGGAACAACTTAACAAGCTTATACAAGATAGTAGTTACTGGTTTGTTCCAGATATTAGCTAAAGTAATAAGAGATGGACGGTTTATTCATCCTATCAGATACGGCTACGGCTATCTACACTCACTAAGTCATCTCACTCAGTATTCTGATAAGAAAAACCAACATCTTACTAAATTGTTCACAAAACGCCCCAGACAAAATAATTAAATATAAATGTTCACTATTGTATATTTGTATATTACGATTACCTATTAATAAGTTCACCTTCACACATTTGACAATAAATTATAAGAATCTGATAATATAACAATAGGTATACTGTTATAGTCGTATAGGGGAAGGAATATTCTGTTTCTGTATTTGAGCTGTTATTCAACAAAAGTTTAGCTATTGCTAAAAACACACACAAATAAATAACGGTATTATTGGCCAATTATAGACTCTAGCTACGCTATTTACAAATATTTACTGTAGTTATTTATTTATTGCATACTTAATTATAAAGGGACTACATTAGACTATTAGAGTGACATGCACCATCGAAAGTTGGGAATAATGAATATCGACGTTATGTTGGCAACTCACAGACAGAAAAATTTAAGAAATCGGAAATATATTAAAATTAATTAGTAGTACCTACTTACAGGCTACAAATCAGTGACGACTGACGACAAATGTTTGTCTCTGGCCCATCTTTTGCTCAATAATGAGATATAGTCGAGTGCTCGTGTAGCGTTGATGACAATGTTTTAATATTTATGTACAATACGTTTTTAATCTTTACTATAAAAGCAAGTCCAGATTTTGTGTCACGGGTTGGCTCCGAAACGGCTTGGCCGATTTTGCTGATTCTTTGTTTTGGTTAGTTCGTAATTGTCAGGACTCGGTTGTTATGATAGAAAATTTTAGGAAAATCTATCGGAAAAGTAGGAAATCTGGATGTCAAAATTACAATAGTGGCGCCATCTGTACAGAAAAAAGATAAGCTAAATAATAATATATTTTTGTTTATTGTAAGGTTGCTATTGGTTATGATTGTTGTAGATTTAGTTGTTAATTTTGAAGAATTTTATTAAAATAAAAAGAGAAAATCAAACCTTGGCCTCTAAATAAATGGTGTTAAAAGGAAGCGCTTATCTAGGAACAATATAGTTGAAGATGCAATTAATATCATGTCCGCTGTATGAGAATTAAGTAAAAACAAAAAACTTTTTATAACTTTGATAATACAATTTAGAGTTAAATTATACAATTATGAACAAACGGCTATAATATGACATAAGCACCAATGGTGCAACATTTTTATATCATTTGCGCCAAAATGAATATTTTATATGTATAAATAGTTATTAAAAAATTGTCAATAAATATAATAGAAATTAATAAATTATAATTTTAATAAATCAGTTGATTATTTCGATCTTATAAAAAATTGTCAATAATAAATTGTTAAAATATAATATACAGTTCTAAATGTAATATACTAATATCTATTAAGAGTGGCACACAGGTATCTAGGATTTTTGTGCTTTCGTACCACAGAATAGTCTGTGTTCTTTTTTTTCTTATCTCATTTTGGCGCTTAGTATGTCTTCCACCACTACAAACAGCACGGTGTCAGCAATCTGCCGCAGGTAGATTGCCTATTGATAATATACTGCTGCGAAACTCAAGGGATAACGCCTGTCGAGATTCCAAGTTTTTCACAGTTTTAAACTACTCTGCATATGCAGTTCAATTACTCTTCATATAAAAAAAAAAGTTGAAAGATAGATAGACAGGATTTGTGGAGCCATAAAACAGCCCTACAATTTGCAAACAACTATCCACGGGGGCAGAGCATGCGGGTGACAGCTAGTATTATATAATAATATTATGATTTTATCATTGTACCTATAAGAAAAACGATTCTGAGTGTAGATAGTCAGTCGGCTTATATGCTATTATAATTATATTATAATATATATCATAATTTATATATTACACTAGCTCTCCGAGCGTCGCTGGGGGACACCCCCAGACCCCCGTCAGCGGACCCCGAGTGTTGTCGATTTCGGAAGCAGCGGTGGTCTCGTGGTGTGGTCGTGGGTCTCAGCCGACGCGGTGTATGGGTGATGTGGAGGTCTGGTGATAAGGATGTGTGATAAGGCTAGGACCATTGCGGTTCGACGTGGTAGCCTGTGGTAGCCAGGGCAGAGTCTTTGACAGAGTCTTTTCGACGACGCCGCCGGAAATTCGAAATTTGATAAAAAAATAATATAGTAATTTTTGTGGGTATCTAGCAGTTCGGTCACCTAGAGTGACGTTCGCCGTAGTAATAGTATTTGGGGTCTAGCGGGTCAGTCACGTTCCTCGACTTTGGTCGTAGTCACCCTTTAAGACAATATTCGACGGTTGGGGCACGTCATCACGTATGCAATCCGACTGCGTCGAATCGCGGACGACGTTCATTACTGTTACCGAAAAAGCAAAAAAAGTAATAAATTACTTGAAAAGTATTTAAAAAATTTCGGACGTCCATGCAAATCATATAGCCGCCGTATTTTTTAGGGTGTCTAGCAGGTCAGTCACCTCGAATGACATTCGCTATAATAATAGGAGTAGGCTATCCGACTTGGACGCATAGCGGACAATGTGCGACGGTCGGGTCACGACATCACGTATGCAATCCGACTGCGTCGAATCGCGGACGACGTTCATTACTGTTACCGAAAACGCAAAATTAAAGGATAAATTACGTGATGAAAATTCAAAATATTTCGGTTGTCCATTCTAATCATATAGCCACCGTCTGATTTTTGGTGTCTAGCAGGTCAGTCATCTATGTTATCCGGGTAGGCAATGTGCGGCCGGGACAGCGTCCATTGCAGTCACCGACAACGCAAAATTAAGTAATGAAATACGTGAAAAAAATTGAAAACATTTCGTAAGCAATCCGACTACCGAGTCACCTTCCTCGACGTAATTACGCGAAAATATGTTTTGGGGTCTAGCAGGATCTAGGGTCTAGCGTCGGATAGCGGACAACGTGTGACTTCTGACGCAAAATTAAGTAATAGGTCTCGTGCAAAAAAATTGGTATATGTTTTGGTGTCTAGCAGGTCAGTCACGGCGGCCGTGCTACCTATCTACCTACCTACTGAGTTCAGAACGCGATATTCGAGAAAAAAAAAGGAACCTTCGACGCATGCATTTCGATGCCTGAATATAGTAACACCTACTCGACGGTGGTCGAGTAAATGTAGAGGGGAACGCGAATAAGTCATCAACTGGGATTGCAGAAGTGTCGAAAAGGGCTAAAACTGGAATTTTAGAAAAAAACGGCAAAAAACGACGCGATGCATATATTTAGCGTTACCTACTCTCGTTTCCGCACCGGGACTCGTATCTGCAAAAGTACGGCCGCGTGCCGGCTGTAAATTTAGCGGGGAACGCGAATCAGATCCAAACGGGGAGGGCGATACGACCGAAACGGGCTAAAACTCGAATTTTTGAAAAAAACTGCAAAAATAAGAAAATCGAACTCTTCGACGCATATATTCACGCCCGTGTATAGTAATAAATAGTATCAAGGACTGCTTTGACGGGGAACGCGAATAAGTCTTCGAAGTCCGTAGAGGCGGTAAAATTCGAATTTAAAAAAAAAACCGAAAATTTTCGTTAAATACGATAAGACGGAAGTGATAGCGAAACGACGAAAAAAAAAAAAAGTGAAAAAAAATTCAGATTTAACACGGCCGCCGCAAATTATCGAAAATCCCGGGGGCCGGGTTCGAAACCACAGCCCTCGAGTCCCCTGTCCTAACGCCTAACCAACCTAGCCACCTACTGAGATGAAATTCATAGTCAATTGTATGACTCTTAAGCCACGTCACCGTGCACGCGTATACCCTATCGGTGTGGCGGTGCGGATTTTACTGTCCCTATCGGGGGACCCGAACTCCTCCCCTGGGGGTGATAGGGGGTCCGGGTTTGCGGGGGCTGGTCGGCGCCCTCGAGAGCCGCTAGGGAAGCGTCGAGGGGGCAAAATTTTTTTCCCGGAACTCTAGGAGCAACCGTTGGGGAGTTACGGCCGAAAAACCGTGGGGACCGTAGGGGGTCTTCTGGCTGGACTTTAAAAAGCGATAAGGAGGAGTGATAACGCCGCCGCGATTTCCCGCCATCCGTTCCATTGTTCACTATAGCAGTTCGGATTTAACACATAGGCGGCGCCACTCGTGTTTCTGTTTTAAAGATATAGATTATAACCCATAATATTATTATTATTAGTTATTATTGTTTAGTTCGTTAGTGAAAAAACATAATATACTTGCGCTTATACGGTTTTATTTTCATAATATGTCACCAAAAAAATTGCGTGCTATTTTAACGAATCAATCTAGACGATCGGGTAAAATGTCTTTAAAAAGACGAATGAAAGGAGTTCGTAATGGTAATAAGAATTGTAAAATTGTGAGGTAAGTAATAAGTACCTAATACTGAATATTATCACCGAATTTATGACTGTATTATAATACTGTTACTAATAGGTTTTAAACGAAGACAAACGAATTGTACTTACTAAAGCAGTTTTATTAAAATGCATAAACAAATAACAACAAACATACGAACATTACGAACAGAGCCCACAACCGGTACTCTGCGACTGACTATAACCATGACTGAATGGTCAAGCCCTTTTCAAAAAAACAGGGTAGCCAACACTCGGCCATCCACCCTTACTTATCGACCTCGATAAGTCATTATATAAAACAAACTCAATTAAATTAATATTTTAAACAAATCTAAACAAATCAGTTCTTTAGATGGACTTAACTAAATTAATATTCTAAACAAAATTAAACAAATCAGTTCTTTAGATGGATTTAACTAAATTAATATTTTAAACAAAATTAAACAAATCAGTTCTTTAGATGGACTTAATTAAACATAATCTTCTAAATACTTTGGTGGTTTTCTTTGACGTTTAAGCTTAACAGTTTCTTCCACCCTTGGTAGATCAGCATTTGATTTGTTAGTCTCTTCATCTTCATCTGCTGATGACCCACTTCCTTTTTCCTCAAGCTGCTCCTCTTGCATTATTGAAACTGCCTTCAACTGAGACACATGAGCCGTTGTAGCATAAATGTGTTTACCATCCCTTGCCATCTCAGCGACTCGATATGTGTTTCCAGGTAGTTTCCCTATAACTTGCAATGGGCCCCGATACTTGGTCTGAAGCTTGGTAGATTGACCTGGGGTAGGTGCACGCAGCATTGCCACCATTTCTCCAACTTCATAGCTTATCGATTTGTTCCTTTTCTGATCATATCTTTCTTTCATTGATACCTGAGTTTTCAAAATGTTATCTCTTGCCTTGGCCTGTAACTCTACTGAATTCAAAGGCTGATGTGTACCAACACCATCTAGTAATCTCAGCACGCTTGAATGAAACTGAGGCCGGTATCCGTGGATTAACTCAAATGGTGTGTATCTGGTAGTCTTACTTTCCGTGTTGTTTATGTCACGTTCAACTTCTTTCAGCTTCTGATCCCATAATTTTTGATCTTGTGCTTGAATTGCAAGCATTGGCAATAAGGTTCTATTGGTCCTCTCCACTTGTCCATTTGCTTGCGGATGTCGAGACGAGTTGAGAGTGTGCCTGATCCCATTATGTTGACAGTAATCCTGGAACGCCTTGGAAGTAAAGCATGTCCCTCTATCTGTTATCAAACGATCCGGCAATCCCCATTGATCAACAAACTTCTGTAAACTTCTAATAGCTGATTGAGTGTGAGTGGATTTTGCTGGAAACAACAATACATATTTGGTAAGGTTATCTATTAACACTAATAAAAATCTATTGCCCTTCAAACTGGTTTCAAAAGGTCCCAAATGATCCAAGTGAACAACTGCAAATGGTCTTTTTCCAGGGGGAATAGGGTGTAACTCTCCTGGTTGTTTTCCTCCAGGCTTCTTGTTGACCAGACAATCCAAACATCCACCGATATGCATCTGTACATACCTACGCATTTTTGAAAACCAATAGTGTTCCTGAATTTTCTTTAGTGTCTGATCCAATGCCCTATGACCTTTTGCGCTAGCATCTGTGTGTACTTCAGTCACCGGTGATTCGTGATTGTATAATTTCAACACTGGAGCAGATGTCAGTATACGCCTCAATTGTTCAAATGCTCCTTGTTGTGGATCCATGGTAGATCCTTCTTCGTCAAAGCCGTCAGTGGTGCAGAAATGTCCGCATAATGTGTTATGAAACGACGGAAGTATCCTGTCAATCCGAGGAATCTTCTTAGTTCATGGACATTTTTTGGTCTTGGGTAATTCTCAATTACAGCTATTTTCCGACCTGGACGCAGCTGACCTTCCTTAATATTAAAACCTAAGTAATCCAATTCAGTGACTCCAAAAGCACACTTGGTTGGGTTCAAGGTTAACTTAGCACGTTCAAGAGCTTGAAATACTCTTTCCACTTTCCTACACATGTCTCCCCAATCTGTTGCTGGAATAATGACATCGTCGATGTAACAACGAACAACACCTTCCCTCTTGAGAGTTCCCAACACCTGGTCCATCAATCGGCAAAACTCAGCTGGAGCATTTCTCAAACCAAAAGGCATACGTTCGAACTTGTATACTGCATCAGGAGTGATAAATGAAGTCTTGTCTTTCGCTCCCTCAGCCAAAGGTATCTGTAAATAACCATTCGATAAATCTAAAGTGCAGAACATCTTACCAGCAGACAATGAACTCAATTGTGAATCTACATCCGGCATTGGATATGACTGTGATATTGTCTGACTATTCAATCTCCTGAAGTCAACACACAACCTCTTCTTTCCATTTGCTTTATTGACCAATATGACTGGTGACGCATAAGGAGACCTGGTCTTACTAATTATACCACTCCTGACCCATTCGTCAGTAATTTCCGCTATCTGTCTTCGCTCTTGTTCGGATGTGCGATACGGCTTCATCGATACAGGCTTACTGTTTTGTTCTTCCATTATCTCCATTGTCACCAAATCCGTGCAACCCAATTCTTGTAAATTTAATGCAAACACTGCACGATACTTATTCAGTAACACTGTTAGTTCTTCTTTTTGCGTGGAGTCAACCTGACTGCCTATTATCACATCATCTGTTGACAGTGACACTTTTGATGTTGACTGTTCTTGCACCAAGCATACTTGAACTCCATGTTCATGCTTATTAATATTGGCACATATTGATTCCACGTCCATATCTGCGTACTCAACGACAAACGTGTCATCTTGTTTGTGGTAAGTAATCTGAGGCAAATTGAGCCAAGACTGTCCAATCAATACTTCTACTGGAATTGCTTTGTCTTCAACTACTAAGAATTGCACCTTGTCCGTCTTAACCCCATCGATAACCAGCTCTCCCATTACTTCTGCTAATGAAGTGATTCTAGGTGTCTTCATATCACCCACAGCATACAATGGTTTGATTGATGACACTATTGGTAATTTGGTCCGTACAGCTGCAGACGATCGGATTAAACATACTGTACTACCTGAATCAATGAGTCCATTGAATTCAACTTGGTTAATTTTCACTTGTTTCCCAAACGGATTCTTCCCTGCACACCCCGCCACCACAACCTGGCACGTTCTGGCAGGATGTTCTTGCTTAACAGAAGGACATTTGCCCCGAGTATGTCCTTCGGCGCTACACAATGAACATTTCATTGGTCGTTTTGGTCTTGGACAATCGCGCGCTATGTGTCCAAAACCAGAACAATTGTAACACTTAATTGTACTGTGTCGTGAGTCAGATGTCGGTGATTCTGTTTTCGTAGTGGTTCGTGTCGTCGATGTGAACTTACTTGGTTCTGCCTGGTTACTTGTTGTTTCTTTTTTTGACCACATCTTACTATGATCGACTTTAGTAATTACGGAAGTGTTTGGCTGATCTCCACGACGATCAGACTGACGTTGCCACTCCAATATATCTATGAGTAATTGGTCTTCGTCATAGTGCTTCCTTCCAAATGCATACATCGCGAGTTCCCGAGATAAAATGCCCTGTAGAACATAATCGCGAAGTTCTTCGAACTGTAATCTGACACCTTTGCACAACCGCACCTTATCTTGAAAATATGACATCAGTGATTCATCCTTGTGTTGTACACGACTGCGCATAGCGTCCCACTTGTCGGCCATGCGTAATTCACGTACGAACACTAGTTTAAACTTCTCACGAAACGTGGACCAACTCACAAAATTTTTCGATAAAAACCAATTACGTGCCGCATCAGACATATTCGAACGTACAAAATGTAGACAAAATTTGGATGGCCACCGATTCAAATCAGCTAAACCCTCTATCGTTTCCAACCAATCTTCGGCTACGTGAGAAGGTTCCAATCCAGTAAAACATTTCACTGACTTATTGACGTCTGGGATGACACGAAACTCTATCGATTCATCATTTGTCTTAGTGTTCAATGGTGTCTCGTCATTTTTCACATTTACCAGTGCTAATTCATCTTCTAGCTGTTTGAGTTTAGCTCGTTGCTCGTTCACTAATTGGTACAATTCATTATACTTAGGTGCTGTAATTTCATCAACGTGATCACTCGACATCGTCACAACAAACGATTCGCTCAAGACTGACAAGAAAATCTTTGTGATAACAACGGCTTATCACATGTAAACATAACCAGCTTATCAGCTCTACTAGCGATGCAGTCATCGATTGACACACCGTAACGTCAACTTATGCGCCACCGTTACTTCCTCCGCACACTATTACCACTAAACCTCGTGGTTTCGCAACACCAGTAGCGACTAATGAACGTAATAAGCACCAACCGTCTTCTGTGTTAAAACAAAATCAAAACGGCAACTACACTCGCGAACTATGGATTTATGATCCCACTTCTGAAAATGTTACTAATAGGTTTTAAACGAAGACAAACGAATTGTACTTACTAAAGCAGTTTTATTAAAATGCATAAACAAATAACAACAAACATACGAACATTACGAACAGAGCCCACAACCGGTACTCTGCGACTGACTATAACCATGACTGAATGGTCAAGCCCTTTTCAAAAAAACAGGGTAGCCAACAATACTTATTCATTATTTTTTTCTTATCGAATTAAAAAAAAAAAAAAAATAGTGAGGATATCAATAAGCAGACAAAAAATGTATTTTTTGAATCGTCCACAACTGAAGCTGCAGATGGATCACTTCCAGGACCATCATTTGAAGTATACAATACTCCAATGTATGATGATTTATTTGGTGAGCAATCAACAAATATTATTGCTGATTCTCCTATATTAGAACCAGATGATAAATCTCTTCCAGGATTGTCGTTTGAAATAACTAATACTCCTGAGTATGTAATATTTAGTATGAAATCTGTTTTAACAAATACTGATTTATAACTAATTATCATTTGTATATATTAATAATTATAGAACAACAACAGAAGTATGTTCTTTAGGTCGTCGAATAGTGGACATATTCTACATATTTGAACAAATTAAAAAATGTATCCACGAAGGCGGTTTCGGATGTACTTTCATGGATATGGAGTTTGTACGTGAAATACGTTTTGGTCTAAGGTCGCAATTTCAATTCACATGTAAAATGTGTAAAATTAACATCAAAATTGAGTCTGAAAAAAAGGTCCCAGAGACATATTTACCTGTAAATTTAGCCGCGATCAGTGGTTCAATATCAATCGGAATAGGATATTCACAACTTGAGGAAATATTAGCTTCCACCGATATTCCATGTATGAGTAGTAGTACATTTTTATCTAGTCAAGAAGAAATCGGTGACAAAATTCATTGTATTGCCCAAGAAGCAATGAGATTAGCCGGTGAAGAAGAAAGGCGATTAGCGATATAGTCCGCGCACGGGTTACTTTGGTCCACATAAATCTAGCACCCCCATAAATTTAGCCCAAATTGCGCCTATGGTCTTTTCATCTTATCTGTATCCTTGATATTTTTCAATTTTCCATCTTCAAAATCTTTTATTTTTTGTGACAATTTTGTGTTATTTACCTAAATATATTTTTTTTTTCTTATCATTGATATTAAATTATCGTGAGTTCTGTAACATTACCGTCAAAGTAAAATTTTCACTTTTAGCGTATTTTAGTTGTTCGTCAACTCCTTTACTTTTCGATATATAATTGCTTAAGTCTATTTCTAGTTTTTCGTTTCCCGATGTTAATTCTTTGATTTTCTTCTTCATGTCTACGATTTTTGATCTATAATTGGGTAGTTGTGCTATATTTGTCTAAAATTAAAAAGAACCATACAAATTTATTACTAACTGTTTATAGATAACAATGATAACAAACATATTATTAAGCAATTCCTTAGCAATTTCATGGCAATGCCTGTGCTCAGAATCAACACATTTGTCTGTATTATAATTCAATTTAACTTACTTTACTTAAAGTTTCTGATTTTAATTTCTCCTCTTTCATTGTTTTTAACTCAGTTTCTAAAGATTTATTTTTATTTTTGAGCTCCATATGTTCATAGTTTAATTCATAATATTTTTTTTCAATACTTTCTAACTTCTCCTCGAGTACTCTTGACGAATAGTACGAATCGGACTTGTACAATTATAAATATGATATATGTAGATACATTATTGGTATAGTAGTATAGAGAGTACCTATGTTTGAAGTTAATTATTAATCATTTGGTGGCAATAAGTATTCATTACCTATATTTAGTGTTTGGCATAGGCACAGACTTTGTTCGCAGGTATATAAAATGTGCTGATAAAGCACCTAACACCTAAACATAACCCTAACCTCCCCCAGTCCCCCATGATATAAATGCTTTTAAAATGCTTGTCTTGCGTCGAGATCGTTCCATCTCTATAAGCTATCTCACGTTTAAATGGTTCAAGAGTTTTTTGCAATGCTTCAATTTTTGCTTTTACCTGCTTATCATCGTACACACACTTGTTCTTAACTCTCATGTATTGTTGTTTACATCTATCTTTTAGTGACTCTTTTTCTTCATATAATCTATTAAACATAAATAGCATAATATTAAGGTTTATTGTAATTTATGGCGTATATAATAAGAAAATGCGTAGGTACGTTTTTACCTTTAGTTTCAAAACGTGAATTCTACTAATATAATGTTTTTCGTTCAATACACCTGTAACAATAATTTTTAGAACACGACATTAAAATTCAGGATATACGGATTTGGACATCTTTAAATGTTGATTCTTTTTTAACAGTTACTGCTCATGTATATAATACAAATTATGTACTGAAAACATTTGTACTAACAACATAAAAACTTAATAACAATCATACAGCACAATACTTATATGAAACATTGATTAAAATTTTTGAAGAATGGAAAATAATTAATAAAGTAGTAGCTATTGTAACCGATTCTGGTGCTAACAAAAAGGCTGCAATAAAAAAAATGAATGGCATACCTCATGTACCATGTACTGCACATAAGTTGAACTTAGTGGTGAAAAACGCACTAAAAATTCAGTGTGGTGCAGATGAAAGTGACGAAGATAACAATATTGGTTGGGATGGAGTTAACGATTTAAACATTTTATTAAAAAAATTTCGTTCAATAGTTACATTTTTTTAAAAAGTGAAATTGGACATCGCTGTTTACAAGACAAGTAAGGCGTGTAGAACCATATCGGCCCAACCCTCAAAAAATCAATTTGCGTATTATTTCCAAATATGTTACAGAATTAAATTTTATTTCAGTGCAAAAATGGCCCAAACCTAAAAAAAAAATTATTCGCTAGATAGCAGCACATAATTCGTTTTGTCATTAACATTTTAGTAATAACTTTGGGGTAAAAATGGCCCAACCCAATGATAGTTGAATAGGCCATTTTGATTTCTAAATTAAACCCAGTGATTGTGGAATAAGTTATTTTTGTATTATATTGTTTGAAAGTGCTGGCTGATAATAATATTATTATCAATAATGTTGTTTTATGCAATAATTATTAATTAGTAATTACTAATAGGTACTTAAGTCTTTTAATTAACAAAATATAAAAGTTGTATAATATTAATATGAACACAGAAGAAATTAGTGATGTTCTCCAAACCGGTAAGTAACAAAAAATGTAGATATTTATATACCTATATAAATCAATTTATTTTAATGAATTATTGTAAACAGACTCAGAAATGGAATTTTCTGAGGTTTCTGGTTCAGATTATATACCACCCAACATTGGTAATCAATCATATACCAGTGATTCAGATCAAAATAATATGTCAACACACTCTTCTGAAGACCATCAGGCTGTTTCAAAAAAGCGTTCAAGAAATGTACATCTTTGGAAAAAGAATGTTAGAAAAGCTAAGAAGATTTGTGGAGAAGCTTATATCGGTGCTACAGGAAAAATTAATAATGCAAAAACGTTTGAACCAATAATTTGCAAGTGTTCTAAGAAATGCCACAACTTTATACCAGATACTAAACAAAAAGAAATTGATAAGAAATTTTATGATTTGAGTACTTATGATTTACAAACTTCTTTTTTATTTGGTCTTATTAAAGTAATTAATAAAAAGAGAACATACAAAGGAACTGTCAATAGTGACAAAAGGTCATTTTCTAGAGAATTCTATTTACCCGCAGGTGATGGCACTGAAGTAAAAGTTTGCAAAATGTTTTTTAAAGAGTTATTTTCAATACAGATGGTAGAATTACAAGACTTTTGATATCCAAACCTGTTGGAGGTACTCCACCCCAAGACAAAAGAGGTAAACACTCTGGCAACAGAACAAATGACACAAAAATTAATAAAGTTAAAGATTTTATAAATACATTTCCTAGCTATGAGTCACACTATTCAAGGCTAAAAAATTTAAATAGGAAATATTTATCCCCAAATTTAAATTTGAAAATCATTTATAATCTTTATAAAAATGAAGTCTCGGAGCCAGTTTCTTTTTTATGTTTTCCAAGATGTGTTTAACAAACAGTTTAATTTACATTTTCATGCCCCAATATCAGATAGTTGAAAAAAGTGTGATTCTTTTAATATGAAACTTAAATTTTTGACTGATGAAAAAGCTATTATTGAAAATGAAAAACAGTTACATCACAGGAAATCTGAAAAAGCCAGAGAAGGTATGAAATTAGATGCTACAGAAGCCAAACTAAACAATAATATTACATGCATTGCATTTGATTTAATGAAGACGTTAGCAACTCCCATTGTTTCCACTGGAATATGCTATTACAAAAGACAGTTATGGACTTATTGTCTTGAAGATCTATGATCTTGCAACTGATAATGCAACTATGTATGTTTGGGATGAGTCATTAGGTTCCAGAGGTCCTCAAGAAATTGGTTATTGCATTTTACATTATGTAAAAAATTTTGTGACTTCTACCAAACTTGTAATGTATTCAGATCAATGTGGTGGTAAAAATCGCAACATAAAAATGGCTACTTTATGTAATTATATTGTTGCTAGTCCATCAATTACTGTAGAGGAAATTGATCACAAGTTCTTACTTAGTGGTCATTCATATTTACCCTGTGATCAAGATTTCGGATTAATTGAAAAAGAAAAGAAATTCCACCCAGATGTACATTTACCGAATGACTGGATAACAGTCATACTATCTGCAAGAAAAAAAACCATGTAAAGTTGTCAACATGTCTTCAAATGATTTATACTCAACAAAGTCATTAGAAAAGCAGATAACCAATAGAAAAACTGATCTAAATAAGGAGAAAGTACAATGGTTAAAAATTCAATGGCTAAATTACAAAAAAGAACAGCCATTTAACTTTAATTACAAGTATTCTAATGACACAGATTATCCTTTTTACTGTAACTATATTGGTAAAAGAAACTCTAAAATTCAAAACTATACAGAAAATTTAGATCTTTTATATCCAAATGGGCACACTATAAGTTGTAAGAGTTTGGTAGATTTTACTCTGCCAAAAACTACCCACGACCAAAGGGGAATACTCTTGTCGTGACCTGTGAGCCGCACCGCGTGAGACCCGAGGGTCAAGTCGGTGGAGCTCACAGGCTTTGTTACACGCATGGGCTAATGAAAGCCCAAGATTTATTTTGGGGGAAAAGGTATCATAAATAATATTTGGCATCAGTAAGAATAATAGTATTGGACAAATACGATAAAGTAATAATTTTGACAGTTACAGTAAAGTAATAAGATGGCATTACAGTAAAATAATAATATGTGGCACAACACATTAGCAGATAGAAAAAGAATAGTATTCACATTATAATGAATAATGATTTTTGAATAATAAGATAGGGAATTAAACACATAAACGCAGGTCGGCCCACGAGGTCCGCCTACCTCTGGTGAGTATAATAAATGCAATAATAATCGGGCGACCATAGGGTTACCGCCTGCATTCATGGGAAATAATATAATAAGAACATAAATTGCAACATTTACAATTATTGGTTAGGGACATGTGGGGGGAAAATTTTGTAGATATTACTCTGACGACGTTGAGATATGTTGTTGAACGAGGAACTGGATGGGCTGGTTAATACCACCGGCACACACGCGGCCGGCATGGCCCATTTTGTCGTCGATCAACCGCCTAGGATGGTGACGGCGACACGGAGGTTGACTGGTTCAGCAGCTTTGCCCACCATCGGGCCCGTGAGCGGTACTTAGCCCATCATGGCGGTTGGTTCCCGTCGGTGAAAAATAATAACAAAGTCACACGCGAAGTGATGGTGGTCGACACGCGGTTGTGGTCGTTGTTGAAAAAGTTCGGGATGCGTCACGGTACCAAAACGTCTGGTTCGTTCAGCGGTCTCGGAAAAATGTAAAAGAGACGGCCGATGTTGTCTTGCCACTGGTCGTGGTCGTTGATGTTGACGTGGTGGGGAAGGTCAGTGTCGCGTTATAGGGACGTTTACAATAATAATTGGGAAAACAGACTGCTTTATCGGTGCGTATCGACGGACGCGACAGCTGCGACCGGCATCGGCAGCGGCCTGTCGGCGGGCTGACACTGCGGGTTGTGGGGGCCGGGGTCAGATATTATGTAACATTGTGGTCATTTATGCATTGGCGTGCGATAAATATAATAATATCATAATGTAATCATAAGTACAGTAGGGTCTCGATAATCCGAACGTGATTGGGGAAAGGGGTCGTTCGGATTACCGATTTGTTCGGATTACCTATGACTTAATAGAAACAACAATTTTATTGTAATTTAAGTTATGAAATTTATTTTTATCTGTATTAATCATTGAATAATGTATAATTATAAATGTGTATATGCAAATTATATATGTATGTGTATATGAACCTTATTTAAAATATTGATTTATTTTTTTTTGTACACTGGCTCCTATTTGGTGATTAAATGCCTTGTCCCGCAAACGCTCAGCAACATTACTTCTTCGCAGCTTTCAACGTTTTGTTCAGCCCACTCGATGGCCGTAGTCAACGCTTTTGTGGCTTCTGAAGCAGATACTTTTGAAGGAGGCAAAAATTCTTCATCTTTTTCCTTCTCAATATCTTCTTTGGTCACTGCCTGAATGATTTCATCATCAGTTAAAATTTCTTGGTGCTGTATCTCTTCATCGCAGCCCCCTGATGCCCACTGTTGAATTTCATCCTCAGAGATGACTGTGTTTGGAGTCAACTTGACTAAAAGTGGGGTGAAGATAATGCTGCCTTCCTGAACTTCAGTAGTTTCGTTCACAGCAACCAGGTGTGGACTAAAGTTTTTCCATGACATTTTTATCAGATGTGACGAGACAGATAACCAACAGTTAGCCAAGTTAAAAACAACATCTTTAAGATTGATTTTTTTCAAAGCTACCACCAAGTCATTTCCGTTTTCTTCGTCCGCCAAAATGTTCGTAAGTAAAGTTTTTCGGTAATTCAATTTTATGTTTTGGATAACATTCTGATCCATTGGTTGAATACGAGCAGTTGTATTTGGTGGAAGAAACATCGCAAAAATGTTGCCATCTTCACTACGAAGTTCTTCTACAGATGGGTGACCTGGGCAGTTATCCAATAGCAATACAGCTTCCATAGGAAAATTAATTGAAGAAAGATGACGACGAACGCTAGGAACAAATTCAGTGTTGAACCAATCTAAAAATAAATCTCTTGTAACCCACGCATTCTTCTGCCCTCGGTAGTACACAGGAAGTGTAACCGATTTAAATGCACGAGGCTTGTGAGCTTTTCCTACAACAAGTAAACGAAGTTTATGGTTGCCCGTCGCATTTGCGCAAGGCATAAAAGTGACTCTTTCTTTCATAATTTTTCTACCGGGAGCGGCCTTTTCTGTAGATGACACTAAAGTGTGGTCAGGCAACATTCGCCAAAATAATCCAGATTCGTCAGCATTGTAAATTTGTTCTGCTTTAAATTTTTTTTGTATGACAAGTTGTTCAAATTCTTCTTGGAACGGTTTGATGGAGTCTTCTTTACTCGAAAGTTTTTCACCGGAAATTTTGAGACGCCTTATCCCATGACGCTTTTTAAAGTTGTCTAACCAACCTTTGCACGCATTAAAAGCATGGTTATTTTTTGAGAATTGGCGGTGAAAAGATCGTGCTTTTTCACAAAGCATTTCACCACTCACTGGAACGTGTAAACGTCTTTGTTGAATAAACCACATGAAAACTGCACTCTCAACATTTGGATTCTCTGGTTGTTTTAACGTTTTACGCTTACCTGGACCGTTTTCCGTTTTACTGACAAACTTCTCTAATTTTTCCTTGTTCTTTTTAATATCACTGATGGTAGATACACCTATACCAAATTGTCTTGAGATGGCACTGTAGCTGGTCCCCTTATTAATTAACTTTATTACTTCTAACTTATCCTGTAATTTTAATGTAACATGCTTACGTGGAGCCATTTCAAGAAAAACACGCAAATAAATGTTCCAAATACGTACGATCTTTATGTACACACAATCGACACACAACTGACAAACGTAATCAACGTTCATATCTAACATCTCATATCTAAACGACGTACACGTGCGATGTTCTAACGTAATCGACAAATTTTATTATTGGGAAATACCGGCGATGCGATAATTTTCAAGCTCGTTCGGATTACCGCGTCTTTCGGATTAGCCTGTGTTCGGATTATCGAGACCCTAATGTAATAATAATAATGAAAAATAATATGCTCAGGGGAACTATAATAATATTTAGTAAGGCCTAAAATTCTGTGACGTTACAAAGTCAATTAAAAAAAAAAGATTTAATTGAATTACTTCCATTTATACCCCCATAAAACATCAGTTTTATTTTGATCTCAAAACAGATAGAAATGATGATGATGGTTTTCCATTTATTGAAAATGAAGATGAAGAAAGTGAAGAACTATAAATAAATATTTTAAGTAAAGATGCAATAATAATTCAAAATATAATTTTATATAGTGTTATAATATAATAATATTATGCAGTTGTGCAAAGAAAAATCAGGCTGTATTATGTTTGATTGTTAATATTTTATTAAATTATTAATAAGTAACAAATTGAAATGTTACTGTTATTACTTTTGATGTTAATATTGTTTTTTTTTTATTTTTTATTAATTTCAGACCAAAAAGAGAAAGCTGATTACTTGCTTGTATTATTCATAGATAACTAAACCTAGAACATGGTTTTTAACAGTTTTGATTGTTTTTGTTTTTTATTATATTTTAAATTAAAATTCTACCTTTTTTTATTTTATTTTAACATAAATAAAACAAGGCTGATTATTTGTTATGTATTATGTACTATGTATTATTAAACCTATTAGATTATCTATGCAGGTATCCATTTTATAAAATATAACATTTTGGATTATAAAGTCAGTCTAATTGACATTATAATATATTTCAAATAATTTAGCTTTTAGAAAATTATAAATAATATTATGTTCTATAAGATGGGCCAATCCACAAAAGTCATAATTTACTCGATAGTTTCTAAAATAAAAAGTGGCCCAACCCACATTAAATCTTAAACAATTTAAAGATAATGATGATTCTATACATGGTTGAAGAGTCAATAATTAACTTAAATGTATGTGACTACATCAGTTTTATTTGAGTTTACCCTTAAAAAAAAAGTCAAAACTTAGATTACCTCTATTGTATAATTTCACTTTTGACGGTTGGGCCGATATGGTTCTACACGCCTTAAGTTAAAACAACTAAGTTTACCCGATTTGAAATTAAAGCAAGATGTGTCCACCCGTTGGAACAGTAGCCTCTTAATGCTTGAAAGGTTGGTAACATTAAAAGAACCACTTACTTGCGTCATGATATCGCTAAAGGATGGTCCAACAATGCTGCTACCAATGGAATGGATAATTATAGAGGATATTATACCACTGCTAACACCATTTAATTTAATGACAACAGAACTTTCAGGAGAAAAATACCCAACACTTGCCATGGTTATACCTTTAGTGAGAGGTATTAAAATTTATTATAAATTTAATTTTTTATACTATGTCTAAATATTAACAAACTTTTTTGTAGGTGTGAATATTGCTCTTAATTCTAAAATAATGGAGATAGAATTATGAGTACCATTAAAAACTAAATTGATAAAAAATATGTCAGATCGTTTTAATCTGATTGAAGATAATGATGTTTCACCTTGTTTTGCAATTTCAACAGTTCTGGACCCAATGTTTAAGAAAGTTGCTTTTACAAATATAGAGTTGGCCAATAAAGCTATACAGAGTATAAATAATGAATTAGCTGCATTAATTGGTAATGATTATTTGAGAACCCACTGGCTACTGCCTACTACCTATTATTTTTATATATATGCTAACCTTAATATTATTTTCTAAGGTGAAAACAGAGAGCATTCAGAACCCATAGTAAATCATGAACATCAAGAAAAGCAATGCTCTGACTTATGGGCATTTTTGGCAACCGAAGTAGAAGAAGAAAGGACAACTTTAACGTCAAACACAACCGCGCAAACACTTATAAATCAATATATAAGTCTTCCTCTGGAAAAACGGTCAAGTATTCCACTAGTTCTCTGGATCAAACATCAGTCACTTCTGGACTCATTATTTAAATAGTTGTGAAATACTCTATAATTCCAGGGACTTCGGTTCCCTCAAAAAGAGTTTTTTCAAAAGCAGGGAAAATAATGAGTGCCAAAAGGAATCGGCTAGATCCAAAAAATTTACATGTTTTAATTTTTTTAAACAAAAATTTAAATTTTTGAAAAGTCATAAGTCATTAGAAGTTTTTTGATAGTGTTAGTCATTAAGTGGTTTTTTGTTAGTTGGTCATGGTAAGTTTAACCAACTATTAGTCGGGTTTTTGGAGTAAAATATAACTATTAGTATGTTATTCAAATTATTCGGTTGTGCCCATCACTAGTTATCACCCCTTTTTAAATCATCTATGGCAGACTTTGGTTATGATATTTCGGATTACAATATGATTGATCCCGTATATGGCACAATGGATGATTTTGTTTCGTTGCAGAAAAAATTGCAATCTTTGGGTAAGTAAGATATTTTCAACTTAAAATAATAATAATAATAATAATAAAAAAATAATAACATTATGTTGTTTTGATGGCTTTGAGGTAAATTAAATACCACCTATTAATAAAATATAATTGATTGATTTTGTTTTTTATATTTAATATACTAGCTGATCCCGTGCACTTCGTTGCCCGTTCAATGTACCAACTCTACATATATGCCTCAAACTGTGTTCAATTCGTTATTTATAATATTCGGTGTATGGTGTTCAACTAAAAGTTAAGATACATTTTGAACACCATACACCGAATATTATAAATAACGAATTGAAGTATCTTAACTTTTAGTTGCCCGGAATAAAAATTCTGATTTGCAGCAGTATATTATCAGGTAGGCAATCTACCTGCGGTAGATTGCGGACCCCGTGCTGTTTGTACGTAACTGTATGATTTAACTCTTATGTACCAAAGTTATAGCAAGTTTGTCGTGTTCCACCTATAATGGATTAATATAATCTATTAATACAAAATCCTAACCTAACCTAACCGTACAAATATCAGATGAATAAAATAAAACCAAATTTAACCATTTTTAAATTAGCCTGTTTTCTTCCCAGAGGTCGATTCTACACATAAACATTAATTTATATATATATATATATATTGATAAAAAATAATACAAATCAACAAACATGCCCGATTAACCAATAGCAACCAATATATATACACTGTTTTGCTCTACTGTTGTATTCTTTACATCCAGATTTCCTAATTTTCCTGTGGATTTTCTTAACATTTTCTTTCGTAAAAACCTTCTCCTGGCAATTGTGAACATCTTAAAAAAAAATTGAGGCAAATCGGACCAGCCGTTCTCGATTGATGAGGTAGCCACATTTTTCACTCTCCATATTTATATATATATAGATAACTAATTATTGACTAACATTATCGGACTTTATTTATGCCTAAAACCTGCTCCGTGATACCCTCTTTCATTTAAAAAAAACTGCATGACAATTGGATAAGAAGTTTCGAAGCCAACCCGTAACAAAGATTTCCTCTTTTGCTTGATTTCAGTTCTTATAGAGATAAGTACCTATATATTAACTGTACCTACTAGACATCAAAAAATTCTCAAAACCAAAATAGTTAAGTTTATATATTAACGAAATAAATTAATAAAAATGAAATATAGGGAGTAACTACTTATTTAAATTTAAAAGGTGAATTATGTTTATTCATTTTTTAATTTTTCCAAACTAGTAATCAGGGGCGTCATTTGGGGGGTCAGGGTGTGCGGTAGCACCCCTTAATTTTTAAATACTTCCAATTGGCCTGCGCCCTGCTGAAGCATTGGCCTGCGCCCCGCTGAAGCCTAAAAATAATGCACGAGCCACGAATGCACAATTATTAATATGATTAAAATTAAATCGTATTTTAATTTTTAAATTTTATATTGACATTTTATCAATATTGGTATACTGTCAATCATGATTACAACTTTAAATTACAAATATAAACAAATATCGTGAAAGACTTAATGATCTGATGGTACTTAATGTTGAAAAAGAAGAAGTTAACAATATAAATTTAGAAGAAGCTGTAGATATATTTGCTAAACTAAAAAATCGACGATATCCGCTTATTTAAATAAAAATTTGTTTTTTCTAGCGCTTTGCTTTTTCCAAAATTATAATAATTATGAAAATAAATGACAATTTATTAATATAGATATTAAGTCCTTTTTTTTTATTTGCTGCTGCATTAATTCTTCTTCTAGCTTATTATGCATAAATTATTATTGGTTTTCACTGTTAAGGTAATTAATTATTTATTATATTTTAGTATCTTAATTGATGTTTACTATTTATTTTGATGCAATGATTCCGAATTTATTCGGTCCATAATGTATAGAAATAATTGAAAACAGGATAATGCACGTTTGTATATCTATTTTGATATGGCCTGGTGAAATTTCAAAATGGCCTGCTTGAAACCTCGCACACCCGAAAAAAAACCTGAAATGACGCCCCTGCTAGTAATACTATAAAATGATAGACTACGACAACAGCTGTCTATAGTGTACCAATGGAAAGGAAAACTCCGGCTATAGCGAACATTTGGCGTAAAAAATTACGCACCTCTCAGTCTCCGCGGTCCGCTCGACCCGTTACCGTCGATTCTTTATAGCGCGACCAATCGCGTGACTCCGCGGCGGTGGCGGTCAGTTTTAAAACGTTTTTGGTTATCACCTCTTTTCTTATCATTTTGACGATTTTTTAAATTTTCGGAAAATTAGCTGTTTTTACGCGATTTCGACCCTTTTCGCCCTTTTTTATACTCGATTCCGGTAGCTCGCGATCTCTCGAAGCCGCCGGTGTCCGGCAGGGGCGGAGTGGCCGGTCTGGAAATGGGAATTTTCCAGATGGCCTGGACCATACTATGGCCTGGTGGCCTGGCCATTTTGTTAGATTTTTTTTTAAATTTAATTTAATTTACAAAATATTAGTTAATGCTAAATGTTTGTTTCTATTAAATTATTGTATTACAATTTACAAATATTATTAATGCAATAATAGTACATTGTGATAGCCTCGTACAATCGTATACTCTTATGAGAAAGCTTTGGATATAAAATTACAAAATATTTAATACATAAACATAGGCGTGCAGTCTACGGTGGCAGCCTAGGGTGCCTGGGCTGCCCCTGCAATTTTTCAATGGTGCCGGTCAACTGAGTTTTAAACCAGAAGGGTCAAAACATTTTTTTTTTTTAACTATTTTTTTATGTGTACCGTTATAATAACCGTTTACTTACAAAGATATGTTCAACAAAATTAGGTAGATAATATCTTTATTTAACATGTATTGTCAAATTGATTTCCTGACTTCGGAAATCGGAAATACCTACTATAAAAACTTGAGACAGACAACGACGACGGTACGGTACGCATCCATAGGTATTATTGATATTATGTTTGATTTGTAGCTAGGTGGTGTAATCCAAGGCTGTAGATTAATAATATTTCTGAAGTTACTGTAGATTATTATTGTAAATAGATAATTTGGGATTTTTTTTAATTATATAAATATTTCATTGTTGAGTGGGAGGGGGGCTTAAAAAAATACGGCTTTGGGTGTGTAGGGCTTTTTTTCGGTTCACTAATAAGGTAGCGCCGATTATTAGCAAGGCTGACCCTGCCGATGAAGTCTAGTCGGGAGTAACCGAATTGGTTCCCGTTTGGCCGAATTGGTTCCCGTCTGAAAAAGGTATTTCATTAAGTTGAGCCGAATTGGTTTCCGTTCAAAAAAGGTATTTTATTAGGTTGAGCCGAATTGGTTCCCGTTTGTGTACAGGTAATTTTTAATTTTTAATAATTGGTACAAAATATAAATTAGACAGTATAAAATATAAATGTACCTACATGGCTATACTCTATAATATATAGTATAATATACAATAAGATGGCTATATATTTATATATTGGAAGTTTAGCAAATTATCGGTGATTTCCCGATCAATTAAGATAACGATTGAGATATATGTACTTTTATCGGTGTATGGTACATCGTCTATATCGTATGTACGAATGACAATAATGTTGGTGAACAGTGAGCACTGTACAGCCTCGAATAACACATCGTGTAAATTTTTAATTTATATTTCGTATTTGAATTTATATTTTTTAATTTTAATTTTTCGTAATTATGGAGTTTATGTTTAGTGAAAAGGGAACTTAGTTGTTGATTATTGACAATTACAAGTTGGAATTTTTATGGAGACTTTAAACAGTATTCAGACATTAAATTATATTAAATTTCGAAGTTATAATACTAGAAAACTTACTAGCAAACAAGAAAAAAATAACAAATTCTTGGAAAATTGTATGACTGAGTACACCAAGATGAAGCTTACGCGAATTGAATATTTAAAGAAAGTTTGCTTCAAATTTGCAAATCAGCGTTTTTAAACATTTAAATTTGTTATATTTTATTATTTGTATTTTTTACCTACACCTAGTGATAATTGACTTCCGAATCAACGATTGAAAATTGTATATATTATATCATTTTTTTTATAACACACATTGACGCACATTTTTAACCAAGCCTACTTTTAAGTTGACAGTCCTAAGCCTGTAAAATTGAGAAGGAAAATGTGCGTAATTAAACGGGAACCAATTCGGCCGAACCCAACAAAATACCTTTTTCAAACGGGAACCAATTCGGCACACCCCAAAAAAACACCTTTTCCAAACGGGAACCAATTCGGCATGTGGGGTTGGAGCTCGGGAACCAATTCGGTACCAGCCGTCTAGTCACGCCTATGTACATAAATATAGACATCAAATAAAATCAAAGCAATATAATATTGCAGATATATAGGTCGGTTATTTTTATAATAAAAAACCAATTTTAAACATTGAAGTATTTAAAAAACAGGCTGAGAAATCCAATGACCAATGATTATCTTGAGTCTTTTATGCTTATGGCCATTGAAAATAAAATTATCATGGAAATAGATAACAATATTATCATAAATGCAGTTGGTGAGAAATCTAATCTATTATTTAAATTATTACTATGAATGTATAAATCTTTTTTATTATATATTGTTTACAATGTATGTATTTATCTATTACTTATTACCTTATATCTACTATACCTAAACAATTAAAACACAATGTATAATATAATTATTAATATTTCGTTGATTTCAACTATTAAACCATACCTACTAATTTTATTTTTCAGACTTTCAGGAATAAGTACTTATAGTGTATTAATATAATGTGTTAGAAGACAGAAGTTAAAAAGAATAGCAAGATAGTGATTGAAATACTTTTATAATACTAAAAGTAGTTTTCAAATAGGTAAATAGAAAAATCAAATTCGAGCTTGGCGAGAAAAAAAATTTTGGTGGGTGGCCTGGATACATTTTAAACTCCCGGCCTGGATTTGGTTCCCACTCCGCCCCTTTTGTCCGGTTTATATTCGTGCACCATCCGAAGCGATCGCGATGTCGATCGAAAAATACACTCCCGGCCGGACTTTTTTGCAGATTTTTTCATTTTCTAACACGTTTTCGTCATTCCCACGCCTTTTGTGCCTGAATCGTGTAGTCGACGTCTTTTTAAAGCCGTTTATATGCACTTTTCCCCCGAAATCGCGTTTAGAAATTACGCCGGCGACCGACCGACCGTACGCGTATATATAAGTGTATATAGTATATACGTGTATAAGAGTACGATTTTTGCCTATGATTTAATAACTATTAACGGAAAACGCTTTTCACACGCCCCGTTAAATTTATATATGGGAGATGCGCGTATTACAAGCAAATTATATACGTTTAAATCGATGTACATCGAATATATCGGCTTACGTCGCTCCGTAGACGCACAGCGTAAGGCCCTCCTCACACGGGGATACTCAAAAGAAACTGCAATCGCCTACTGCGAGTACTAGGAGACTGGGTGACTAGGCAACTACAGTTGCCGGTTATTTTCACACACAGTATACTAAATTTTTGTTTCTAGTTTTGTAAACTAGTGTCGCACTATTATTTCGACAGTACAGTTCAGTTTTCCTTATTATATGTGTACAATAAATAAATTAAAATAAATACATTTTTTATAATGTCTATTAGTGGTTCGAGTAGCGATGAAGAAATTATTCTTTATCATTACTATAAACACCACTGAAACAAACGCAGAAGAAAATGTTGGATCAATCTTTATATTGAAAAAAATGTTAACTGCAGACTATTTGTTGTTGCTAACTTATAAATTTCAAAAAAATTAAAAACTTCACTGTTATAAGGTATCACGTATATACTAAATTACTAAGACAAAATACTATATATAAAAAACATTTGAAGATTATTGACTTATCAAAACTAAATACGCTATACGCATCACATATTCACATACGTTACTATTTTTAGAATCATGGAAAAATCATTAACCTTATCAGTTATCACTATAAACTTAGATAGGCAGATAGCTAAAAACGCTGGTATCTATAGTCATGCAAATACCATAAACACAACGGTTGTTTTTACTTTTTAATCGCATTAATAATAAATTAATAACATCTGTCATCTACAATCTAGAATTCTATATTAACATGGTTACTATTATCCTATTAAAATATTCCAAATTATTCTGTATTATTCGCATACGAAAAATTACGTAGACAACCCACCCCACCCACCTCTAATTAAAGGTGTAGCAACCGCTACACCTCAACTATAGGATAGCCGCCACTGAAGCAAGAATTACAGGAAAGTGAATCCCGATTTCTTGCATTCTACAGAATGAGAAAAGAAACTTACCTTCAATTAAAAGAAATTATTTGTCCTGCTCTTCATTACACAGATACTAATATGAGGGAATATGTGTGCCCGGAAGAAAGACTATTGATAACACTAAGGTAAGAATAATATTAAAATTATGTATTTTTTTATTATATATATATATATTGCCTTTAAATACAATTTTATTATTTTATATAATGAGTAATGTTTAATAATATATTTTAAAATTAATATTAATAGTGGAATGCGCATTAGGTAGTATTTTTCATATTATATTACTGTATTATCGGTGGTCAAAGCATCACGGACGACTTGGTAGCATAAACCTTCTGTGTCATTATGCTGTATCTCTTCTACTGACATTGGGCTGTTGAAGGTAGAATTACTCTGAGGAGAATGATCCGTACTTGTACTAGTTAGTGGTGAATGTGATGACGTAAGAGAGCTTGTTTTTGTATGTAGATAAGTTGGTGGTAGAGAGAGTTGTAGATATGGAGCTAGATTCATTATATCATCAATAAGCTGCAGAACTATACTCCTAAATGAACTCATTTGTGCAGCAATCTCAGAAGAAACATTTTTTTTTGTTGGTTGCACTCATTAGGAGTTGTTTCTATTTTTTTTTTCATATTTAAGTATTCCATAAAGGATTTGTCCACATCAGTATATGCTCGCTTCTGAAATTTTCCTTTCCTCGGAGGTGGAGGTATTTTATTTGTGTCACTTAACGATTTTTCATTAGAAACATTGTCTTGTACTTGTATTGGACATGAAGGTAGTTGGGTAGGACAGTTTGGTGGTGACAGATCGTTATTTTTTTTGGCACCCGTAATACAGAAAGAGTGACTGATATTATAAAATCTGTGTGCATTCTTCACAATTTCATTCGCAAAAAAGTAGTAGTTAAATATTATACACCATATGAACAAGTTGAAAACATTCAAGATAGCATCGATAGTACAACGGTATTACCAATTCTAGATCTTGTGTTACGTGATCGTGCTTCCGCTCATGAAGTTAGAAATTATTTAGCAAATTACTTTCTCACTCCCTGAGCCTCTATTCCATGGCAGTGGAATTATTGTGTTTAAACTTTAAACTATAAAGAACTACCTGCTTTAAGTATTAAGAAATTGTTTTGAATATTTAAATTCATATTTTTCTTATTTTATTATTAGAGTTATTTTTTGTGTTTACACTTGAAAGAAAGAATATTATTTAAAATATAGTTAGTACAGTATATTGTGTATACATATAGTGCAGTTATCTAATGTAGACGCGTATTTATAAATAAACCACTAGAAAATCCAATATTTTTCGTTATTCGTCGATAACTGATTGATGTACATTATCATGGGTTATTTACAATCAACAGTAGGTATTTCTACAGACGTAATTAATATGACTTTAATGATCAAAGATAGAATTATAATGATTATTATTATTATTGTAGAATATGCAATATTTATGCAACTATAAAGAAATATGCAATTAATATGCATTTTTATTTAAATATGCAAAAATACGCAAAAAAAATTAACCATATAATCTATACATTATGAAACGTCAACATTTATAATCAAAATTATTATTCTAGGTGAATTGTAGAAGAATACGCATTTGTATATAAATCCTGGTCCTAATCATAATAATATACCTATTAAAATATATACTAAACAAAATTATAATTAATTAATAACTATAAATAATAAATTCTTTATAGCCATGTACTTAGAACCAATTATTAAACATATTATTATTATAATTATTATTATTATTGTGATAATACTCGAATATTCTCGGCCTTACCTGTGAGCTTAACTTCTGTGACTACTTCACTCCAAGCTTTTTCCGTTATGTTTCTTTGGAGTAGCTTTTGCAGGTATAATTATATAGCTCGGGATACTTTACTATTTGTTGCACAAATTTTATATTAAAATTTTGATCCATGTTATAATATTTTATTATACACGAAATAAAAATTACCAAGCAACTCGAGTAACCAAAATAGCCAGTTGACTGGTCGCGTCAGTTAATCGCGGCGACTTTAGTAGCGCCGTCTGAACGACGCCATTCAAACACACATGCACAGTTGCCTAGTCACCTGTCTCCTATAATAGTCTCCATATAGTATCTAGGCGATTGCAGTTTCTTTTGAGTATCCCCGTGTGAGGAGGGCCTAAGTGTTGATGTTTTGACCGAATTTCATACATCAAACTGTGTCCGAGTAGGTTAGGCGTTAGGTAGGAACACGTAGGTCCCGGGTTCGATTCCGTCGTACGCTATCCGGGCGGCGAAATCGTCAATGGTTTACACGGCCGCCCGGAACCCGACTTTTTTTGCATTTGTTTTTCAATTTATTTTTCATATAAATTAAATAATAATATAATAATATACACTATACAAGAACATATCGTACATTATTATTATTTAAAGTCATCGTCATATTATATCACACATTTGTATTGCTTATTTTGGTTTCATCTTGACTGGTGATGACTGACTTGCTACACAGTACACACTCTAACATGCAGGTTTTCGAATTTACATTTTTTTACGTATACAAAAAAGCACCGGACATACCCTAGGGGATAGTATCATTGAATTGCTGACTTTCATGGGTCATGGGAGATTTCTAGACACTGAAACTCGACTTTCAAACTTTCCCGCCTTCAAAACGAGACCGCCAAAGGAGGCCTTATCAGAAATTCTCATCACCAAATCACCTCCGACTACCAACCTATCACCTTCATTATAAGTGCGACTTTTATAATTCAACCGTGCCTCCGAAATCGGTACTCACTTACCGACGTTATTTTTTTTATATAAATTAAATAATATACACTATACCTTCCTGTATATGTTAATATTTATTGGCTAATATTACATTATATATGTGGCTGTACCTATACTATATGTTAATTAAATAATTAGGAATTTAACACATTATTTTTTCTAAAATGCCATTGTTATATTATATCATACAATAAATACGAATTATATTTGTTTTATTTTTCGTAAGTTATTTCAAATGATGTGTGATTGGGTTTTCACTGGAATACCTGATTTGCTGTAGCACAAACCCGACGAACTCGGATTGCCTATCTAGGTGGCTAACTTGAAAGTTAATCGATTTTGACTTGAGATGACTGACTTGCTAGACACTCCAACAACGGTTTTCGACTTTACACTTTTTACATAAGAAAAGTCACCGGACATGAGAAGGCACATACCACTCTAGTGATATACCTACTATATACACAGGGTGTAACAGATAGAACTGACTTTTGGAATAACTTTTGTTCCAATCAATATTTTTAATTTTTTTTTAATTTATCATTTATAAACCCTAGCGCTACATGTACAATAATTTTATTTTTATCTTTAATTTAAGTACTGAAAATAAAAAAAATTTAATTTGATTTAATTTGTTTTAAACATTTTCAAAATAGCCATTTTGTAAAACTAATTATTAGAAAAATTTTGATGTTGAAATTGTTATTATTGAATAATCCATAAATGAGATATAAGTCCTCAAAGTTATATTATTATTTGGAGGTGCTATATTTTTTGTTTGTAAAGACCAGGAGGCCAATTTTTGAAATGAGCTATAGATTATGTGACATATTTATCGCATGCGATAAAATGATAAAATTATCGCATACGATTAATTTATGTCGAACGTTTAAATTGTAGGCTATTTTTGAACTAGTATCGATAAAATTTTATCATATAACGAATGGAATAATATTTGTCTCATGAACCAATGCGGTAACATATTTGCTTACATTATTCTAACCTCAAAATATAATAAGTACGATAAAATACGGATGGATAGGCGTAGTCACGGACTAAGATATCTTTAATCGTGGTCCGTGGACGTAGTAATCACTAATCACGATTGTAGATAACATTGGTAGTTTTGTACTTGCGCGTCTCACTTTTAACTTTTAAGTATACGTTTTACATTTTTACGTTAAGTAATAAGTGTAAGTACTAAGTACCTTTTATTTCACAAGTTCGTTTGATTTTTTGTATAGTTGTTCTTGGTTTATTGTAATTATGAGTGCTCCGATAAAAAGCAGGCCAACAAAACAACAAATGAAGTTGTTGGTTGACCTTTTGGCTCTCGACCCACAACTTATGGCCGGTAAATTTTCGAGCACGTTTACCTCAAAACTAGCGAAAGCAAGATGGGAAGCTATAGCAACCCAACTTAATGGGTTGCCGGGCGCAGAAAAAACATCAAGCAAATGGAAAAAGGTAATTCATTTTTAACTTAATGCAACAATTATTGATCTCCGCAGTATTTTATAATAGAAACAGTTTAATTTTTCAGAAATATGATATTTAAAGATTTTTGGTTTTCGTAAATAGTTAAGCCAAAAAATATGTTTCAAAATCATTGAATTTCGTTTTTTTTTTAATTCAAAATTAACGATGAATGTAATTTTGGCCTCTACTTTTTAATTGTCTAGGATCGAAGGCCCCCTCACATTGGTATTAATAATGTTAGCCCCCGACTTCAAATGTTGACTATGCAATTCAAATTTACAGATTTGATAATTGTTGGTTATTTAGTTACATTCTCTGTAGGCCATACTTAAGCAGTTTTCAGTGACCCGCCACACACAGACTGTGCATCCGGGTGATAGTCATTTAACTTTTAATATTTCTGATGATATTTTAACATTATTTCTAGGCATGGCAAGATACCAAGGCAACAGCCAAAAGTAAGGCTGCAGCTATTAAACGGCATAGTAATGGAACCGGGGGTGGGCCTCCCTGTACCATTACTATGTCAGATGTCCAGTTGAATGCCATTGCTCAAGTAAGTGATGTTGCTGTAACTGGCCACACAGAAAGTTCTGAGTCTCTGGTAGAAATTGTTTATGAAAATGAAACTTTTCAATTAGGTATAATATAAATATAGTAAAACAAAAACAATTTGGTACTTAAAATTAAATATCAATGATTTATTTGCATAGATACTTCTCAAATGGATAGCGAGTTGGTTGAAATTATCCCAGGAGATGAATGTGAGTATGTTTATAATAATGATAGTATTTATGAAAATAAACTTGTACCCAGCTAAATGTGTAAAATTAAAAACCAATTGTTATTGTAAAAAAAATTAAACTATTATTATTAGGTGACCTATAACTCCTTTTAATCAAATATTTTACAGAATCATTTTCTAAATATAATTCATTCAAATTATAACATAGTTTAAAATGTAAACAGAAATTCAAAATTGTTATTAAATAAAATAGTATTGAAACATCAAAATCATTTTTAGTGAAATTGAAATCTGTAATTATATTATGTAGTGTTATTTGAAGTCCCAGATGCATCTTACCAGCCACTGGATAATACATCCATAACGCCAGAACCATTGGTTTCCATTAATCCAGAACCCAAAATTAGTCAAAGACCAAGTAAGAATATTTACCTATTTTATATTTTTATTTAAAATGTATTTATAAAATTGATTAATAATATTTATAATTATTCATCATAGATCTTATAAAAACAACTAAATTAAAACAGTTAGAGAATCATAATGAAGCTGCAAACAAATTAGCGGGCATTGCACTTCAGAAACTTGAGCTAAAAAAAGAATATTATGCAAAGAAAATTAAATTGATGGACGAGCAAACTGTCACTTTAAATAACATAAATAATATTTTGTCAATTTTTTTTAAAAGTCAATAAGGAGAATAATAATGTGTAATATATAAAAATATTTAATCAATAATGTTCATATGTATTTATATATATATGTATATTATTTTGTAATGTTATAAATTGTTAATTGTTATATTTAAAATACTATTATTAGTTTTAATTACCTACCAAGAATAAAGTAAAGCAGCAGAGTTCCTTGTTCATAAGTATTTGTTTTTATTTGTTTAAATTAAGTTTTTATATAGTATTTAAAATGTTCTTAAAAAGTGTCATAAATACCTTTTTGCATATATCTTATTATGCTATAAATTGTTATGTTTAAAATGTTATTATTATTTTTAATTACCTACCAAGAAAGTAAAGCAACAGAGTTCCTTGTTGATAAGTATTTGTTTTTATTTGTTTTTATTTGTTTAAATTAAGTTTTTATATAGTATTTAAAATGTTCTTAAAAAGTGTCATAAATACCTTTTTGCATATATCTTATTATGCTATGAATTGTTATATTTAAAATGTTATTATTATTTTTAATTACCTACCAAGAAAGTAAAGCAACAGAGTTCCTTGTTGATAAATATTTGTTTTTATTTAATTTTCATTAAAAAGCTTGAATATTAATTTTTCACAACATTTACTTATACATTTATAAATTTCTATTTTGAAGTACTTGTATTATTTTGCTTCGTTGCTGTTTCCCAAGCATTAAATATTGGTTCCGGTTGTCACGTTGCTCCTCAAATGGTTCTTGGTCCTGGTTCATTTCCGTATCAATGTCTCCTTCAGTCTCTCTAATCTCAGGTACATTGTGTTCAATGCACATATTGTGTAATACAACACATGCATTTATAATCTGTGAAGATTTTTCCGGTTTATAATGCAATACCCTATCCTTGAAGAGACACCTAAAATTATATTTAATTGAGAATGAAGGAATGACTAAATTAATTAATTTTGAATAAAATAAATGAGTACCTAAAACGCATTTTGAGTACACCATTGCATCGTTCTATAATGCTCCTTGTTGACATTTGTTTATTGTTATAAAGTTCCTCAGCTGCAGTGGTGGGGTGTGTTATTGGTGTGAGTAACCAAGGCCGTAGCGGATAACCAGAATCTCCTACAAAGGTATCAAAATTATAATTTAAAATTTATTTATCTGGTAAAAACATACATTAATATTTACCTAATAAAAAGAAGTTATTATAGTTTCTGGAATGTAATTCCTGAAGAGTGTTTGTAACATTACTGTTATTCCAAACATGTGCATCATGTGTACTACCAGGGAATAACGCATTAACATTTAAAATTTTTAGATTTGAGTCACATATCTAAATAAAAATAAAATAATCCATATGTATTATTATAATATTATACCATTATGACATTAAAATATTTATTCTTAATTCTTGCATTCAGAAAAAAATATAGGTTAAGATTTAATGATTTATTGTTTTGCAATTTATATGTACTTACATAATTAAAAATTTCTTAAAAACCAAGTAAATATAATTATAAACTTCTATCCATTAACTTTTTTCATTTCAAACTTAATTTATAACTGTTTTTCATTAATAAATGGATAATTTTCTCTGGGTGTGAGGAAGTATGCAAGAAAAAAAAATGTAAAATGTTATTAATTCTTACTAGCTGAACATTTATCGAGTGATAATTTTTCCGATTCACATACATGTACTCAGGGTACCTGTTTTCTTCAAGGTTAAGGTTTTTTGAAGGGGGCACTATAGCAACATGGGTACAATCCAAACATCCAATCACGCCTGGGAATCCAGTTTTAAGATAAAACCTAAAATGGGGGAAAGTAAAAACATTTTTAACAAAATAATGTGAAATAACTAAATTGTTCCATACAAGTTATTTTAGTTTAAAAAAGTATTAAATAATAAATGTCTTACTCATGACGAACTGCATTGAGCTCACAAATAGTATGCGGGAATTTGACCCATGAATTGAAAATAGAGGGATTATTTAGTGATGTTACGACCTCTTTAATGCAACAGGAAACTGACGCTTGTGACAGTACAGTATATCTACTGTTGCCAACCGGTGTTTGGTATGAGCCTGTTGCAAAAAAGTTTAAGGCAACTAGCACCTATAATAGATAATCTTCATGAGACAAAAATCTTATATATAATTAAATTACAAATTGTATTTAAAATGTTAAAACCTTTGTGTCAATATCAATTGATGATGAACGGCTTGGCTTTTTAAGAAATGGTCTTAATAAATCAATCACATAACGTGTAAGATGTTTGGTTAAACGAAAATTTTTTATGAACATTTGTTCAGTCAGTGTAAATGGGTCCGTCAAAGGTCTGTGAAAATCATTTCTAACACCATCATTATTCTCGTTTACACTAACCACATTTTCTACAAAATTGTTAACAACCAAATGGGTCATTATATCAAAATCTGACATTTTCGATAGTTCACAGTAAATTACTTATAACAATAATACAATATATTAATATATAAAAATATTAAAAACCAGAAAACTTAAAACACTTGATTGATTAATATAAATTAGTCTTTACGAACATTATGATTTTTGAATAATAATAATATAAATTTATAATATTATAATGGTTAATTATTGATAAGGATATATGGGTTATTTACTATTTTATATTTTTATCTATGGATAGTAAATTTTCATGCGATAAACACTTTGTCACCACCATTACACCAGTAGACAAATAGTCGAATAACTTTTGTGCGACTAAACTATATAATATTTCAAAAATAGCTTTATTTTATTTTCATGCGACAAACGTTTTTATCGTATGCGACAAACAGTCGAACGTTTTCAAAAATTGGCCTCCAGTAGTTCAAAACACTGTACATATTTGACCACGGACTAAGATAGTATCTGATACTATCTTAGTCCGTGTATTTGACTCGGTGTAACGATAACGATGTACCATAGTAGCCACAGCCCACAATTATTACTGACAGATAGGTTATTTATTGTCAATATTATCACACTCATAATAATAATTGAAACACAATTAATTATAACAGATAAGCAAGGACATAGATTACATAAATTTCAATTGATAAGTAAAAATTATGCCATATCTTAATTTAATATCACAGTATAGTTGACGTTTTTTCTGATTTGTCGGAAAACGGAAAGGTAATTTTTGGCGGAAACCGGTGACACCCAGTTAAATGTACTGCATACTCATGAAAAATGTCTATCTAATCCGTGCATTCAAACTACTTATATTTTTAATATATTATTGAAATGCTGATTAATTGCGGCTTCCTCGACGCCCGGAATCGCCTTACACAGGCAGTTAGTAAATATAAAATTTGCTTAGGTACGATAATAAAATTCAAAATACAATTTATTAAAGCGAACATAACATTTTAGAAGATTTTAAAAACAATTATTATGTAGTAGTAATGCAAAGAAAAAAATCGGTTGTCTGTAAAGTCGGTTTACTGACGATAGTTGAACGTGACAACGTGTTAAGAAAATACTAAAGGAATGGTAGCATTTTTCAAAAGTAAATTTTAATTTCATTTGTTTAATAGATTTGTATGTATATAGAGGAGGTAAATGGAAATCACAATGGAATTTATAAATTTATAAATTTAAGGGGCAAAAATTATTTTGAAAATAAAATTCTTATCACTTTCCTTATCAATAAAAACAATATTTAAGAAAATCCCAATAAATCCTATCAAAAACTCAAAACCCCGAGTATCCCCTTGGCGAGGTGGGTGTTAGTACCCTCCCGGACCAAAATCCATCAAAAAAGCAAAATCCAAAAGGGGGGAGGAGGTGCCCCCGTTCCCTAAAGCGGAAAACGGTAGTATTCATAATAAGAATGGGTTCCCCCTTGGTCCGAGGTTTTTAACTTGAATTCCAGCCGAGTTTACAACTCAACTCAAAATGGGGGGGGGGTGGGGGCTTTGGTTCCCTAATGTTGAAAATTCATCTGGGGCCTAAAAAATTGAGATGCCAATGGGTCCGGGTCTCTTAGTCGAATACCGGCTAAGTTATGCTTCGTCAAAAATAATTACTCGTTTAATGGGTCCCCCCACTCCGCCCGACGGTCGCCACTACGCGCGTGAGAGATAAGAACACTTCTTCCAATGCAAATAAAAAAAAAATATATGATTTAAATTTTCAAATTCATTGTGGCCCAATATAAAAGTAAAAATCCCCTTAATGATATTACCAACCTAATAACGAAAAATGTCTCAGAAAATTCCCAAATTCAAATTGGTATTTTTAAAATTCAAATATTGTACGATTCAAATTTTATCTGACAACCATTTTAAATCATAAATAGTTAAAATAAGAGATTTAATTATTCATCTTAATTCTTAAAGAGCTATATAAATTGTATAATTATAATTTGTCGAAAAACTAGTTTAATGTTGTTTAGTGTTTTTAAAATTAACAAGATATGAAAAACGAAAAAATTGGTCCTAGTGCAAAATTCCTCGGAGAACAATTCAACATCAGTGGACAATATTCATAAGACCATCAAGTTGTTAAATGCAGAAAAATTGGCATGAAATTAGATAAAATGTAACCAACCATGGAAAAATAGTTAACAAATAAATTTTAATTTTAACTAATTTAAAACAATGATTAATTGTTCATAACAAAATTGTGTCAATATACAAAAATATAAATATAAATCATCATAATTTAATTTTAGATATTTATTAAAATAATAAATTTTGTTGAATGAAAGTTGTAAGTAAATCACTTTATTACTATACTATACATTATACCAGTATCAATATTTAGTGAAACCTGTGTAACACAGAAGTACAGAACTCATAAAAATGTAGATAATAACTTATAATTTATACTTCTAGTATTGTTGAATAAGTATTAAAAAAAGATGTGTACATTTTTTCTCCTTTATAATTTACAAATGACAGTAATAAAACACTGTTTATAAATCATGATCAAGTGATTTATAGTGTCAAATAGGAATAATGATAAAACAATATTACACAGCAAATTTTGAATATGGTGTAATTCTATCTTATGTATTAATTCTACGATCAAAAATCATTTGAAGTATTCTTTGTTTTAAAGGCAATTTCAAAAACAAACCTACATATTAAAATCATTTGGAAATTTAATCAGGAATGATAAATGATACAATAATATAAAACTTAAAAGTTACATTCACTTGCTTAAAACCTCTCTCTATATAATATACGAGCTGACCCGGTGCACTTCGTTGTCCTTTAAAAATGACACCATTTAAAAATTGTGATTGTTCAAATCCTTTGGATGTAAACTTGCAGCAGTAAGTGCAATTCAACCACCAGAGTACGACAACATATCAAGTAATATATGTATATATAATATATAAAAATGTCGTGCCACAGTGTTTGTTATTGAACTCCTCCGAAATGGCTTGACCGAAACTAAATAATATTCTCATTATTAATAAATGTATAAATCTCTAATGAAATGGATCAAGTATGATAGAAAAAATCGGAATAAACATTTACCAGACTTAAAGGTCTATTTCCACATGTCCGTTACGGAAGCTCTGTTTACTTATATACGGGGAGAGTCCGGGCTGTGACCGGGACGGGATTTTATTTTTATCAAAAGTGTGTACCTAATCTGAATATATTACAATCAGTTTTGATGTAATTCTGATTTTTTCTGTGGTGGGGGTAATTTTTTGGCTAAACATTGTGAAGTAGGAGCTTTATTTCAAAATTTTCTTGGGCTTTAGAACTTAAAAAGAAAGATGGAATTAGTGTTTCAGAAGCATTTCAAAAATAATAAACAAGCTATATCACAAAATCATCAGCACCAAATTTACTTCACACAGATAAAGGTTTAGAAGTTGAAAATAAACATTTTAAAAAAGTTTTGCAAGAATATGAAATTAAAATGTATCACACCTAGGGTTGCCACCTCTCCGGGTTTCACCCGGAGAATCCGGGTTTACGTATAAATCTACGGGCTCCGGGTTCAGTGAATTATTCTCCGGGTCGGAGATAAAGATAAGATAACATACGTTTTTTTATTATTATGCCTCTTTTTTTAAAATTAGTTTCCGGTATAAACCCATTTATTCAATATACAGAATAATAAGATTATGAACTACGGTTTATGACTTTATGATCTGACGATTACGATTTTTACGAATCCGAATATCTGCTTTTAATTTTGCGTCAGTGTAACCGTGCATCGATATTATAAAACTACACAGAATTTGAAAAGTAATTCATTAATGACCACATTTATGACTAAATGACCTTTTTTTTTTTTTTTGCTTATCGGCCTGTCTCCGGGGCAGCTTTCTTTCAAAGGTGGCAACCCTAATCACACCCAAAATGAAGAAAAATCATCAATTATTGAAAGATTTAATAAGACATTAAACAAGAAAATGAGATTAGAATTTGAAGTTACAAATTCTAAAAAATGGATTAAAATTTTACAAAAATTAATATATGAATATAATTTCGAAGACATACATCGATCTATTGGTATGAGACCTTGTGAAGTAAATAATCTAACGAAGATTTGTGTTTTTCACAAATTATTTCCTACAAAGACAACCTAAACCAAAAATTAAATTTAGTGTAGGTGATAGAGTAAGAATAACAGCTTATAAAAAAACATTTGATAATAAATTTAATAAAAATTGGACTGATGAAATATTTATAGTTAATGAAATTTTAAACACAATTCCTATTACCTATAAAATTATAGATTTAAACAATAAAGAGATTATAGGGAGTTTTTATAACGAAGAGTTACAAAAATCAGTATTTTAATAATATGACCTAAGTTAAAGGAAGTGTTATCTATAATAGAATATCTATTATAGTATATTTTATAAATAGACTATAAAATATACGGTATCAAGCCCATGATTATGAAATTATAAAGTTGGGAGACACCGTGTCTCCCAACTCATTAGGATATCATATTCTAGTAACCGTATGATATTGTATCATAATCTGGTAATATTATTCTTTATCATACCAAACGAGAATTTTTTTGTAACTTTCTTATTAACTATATTTTTAGTAAGCGTATCACGTGTTATTTGATTATATTCTAGTTCTATATTACTATCTTTATTTTTTTGTTCAATTAATTTTATCATTGATTCACCGTTAAGTTTTAACAAATTTTGATAATTCAAAGTAAACCCCTTTATAACCGTTTGATGTTTATTATCGTTTGTTTTATAATAATAACTTTTAGGACCTGTAGATGCCCAATCTGTAATATGTACATTTTCACCTAATTCATCAGTCCATTCTCCCAACATTGTTCCTGTTTTAATTTTATTAACACCATTATCTATATAGAAAATAGAATCGGTATCAAAATAAGCTACAGCTCTACCTAATTTATCTAACATTTCATATAATCTTAATCTTGCACTAGATGTTGTAAATAAAGCTATT